TTCGAAATTCTTGCCTCTTTAGTACCCCCATTCTAGCCGCATCCAGAGATTTCCATTTCTCTACTGCCACGTCCAGTCGGGCCATTCCATCTAATAAGGCTCAACTGAAAAACATTGACTTTGGAAAGCAACCGATGCTCACTTCTCCTGTTTGCCAGCTTTTTAAAGAACCGGACATCTGTTTAATTATATCAGACGATGACTCCAATGAAGAAGAGAAAATCAAGATTAACAAAGGAAATAAAAACAAATGCTCTTCTTTCTATCTGCCAGAAGAGGCGCTTGGTTCTTGTAAACAGAAGAATGCTTTTCGCAAAGTCTTGGAATATTGCTTGTCGCCAGAGTTAGCTGAATCCAACATAACCACTGGAGACAAGAATAACCAGGACGTAGGATAACTACCCACTTGTGCTCAGTCGTCCTCATCTTCCTCCCTCTTATCCAACGATGGCAATGACGATGATAATAACAGTCAAAATAAAAGTCCTTATTCACCTGACCTCTCTTCTAGGCAAGCCTCTCAATCCTGTCTTCCTGACGTCTCTTTTATCTCTATGATAGAGGACAGTATTGTTGACGCGCTTAATTATGTCTGATTTATTGTGATTTCACATATTATTTTTCTTTATTGTTTTTTGCTTGTATATAGGTCATGATATTTCCCAGAAAACTTTTCTAATCACTTGTCGTCTTGGCTGCTTAATCGGGCACATCGTGATGTAGGAAAGCGAAAGGGTTAGGCCGATTAAACATGCATATTATTGAGAAAAAATGTCAGAAGAAGACTATCCGCTCACCGGAACTTCCGATGACTAAACTCCTCAGTATTCTGAGCTTCAGTCTGGAGTGATGATGGGACTGAAAATTAAGAATTATTCCCGCATATCAACTCTTTCTATATAGTCTCCTTATGAGTGTCCCCTTGGAGCATATCACTTCAATATCCAGAAAGGGTAGTCGTTCATCCTCCTCCACCTCGATTGTGAATTTAATTCTTTCGTCAAAATGGTTAATAAAATTCAGAAATTCATTTAGATTTTCCTTACCATGTGATCAACATGCAAAGTAGTCATCCAAATATCGCATAAGCACTCTTGGTTGCAGTGGAGACTTCACCAATTCCCTTTCCAACTTGTCCATATAGACATTTGCTAAAAGAGGTGAGAGCGGAGATTTCATCGGTAGTTCAAATATTTGCTCGTAGATACTGTCGTTAAATATATAATATGTGGTCCTTACTGTTAGGTTAATAAGTCCTGTTAATTATTCTTTCCATATCCGTTCTGCCTCCAGGATGCCCTCTTCTCGCTCCAATATCTCCAGCAAGGCGCTTACCGCCCTCGCCTGATATGTTTGTGAACATGGATTGTACATCGAAAGTCACCAACAGTTATGACCGAGTTGCGAAAACAAGGTCAAACAACTTATATATAAGGAGAGGAGACTGCAACCATAAAAAAGGCCACACCATCTTGGTCTTCATACCTTACCTTACTTATGCTTTGTATATATATCATTATGGGAAAATTCTATTACCAATCCCTCCTCACCTTAAAAGAAATAGGGTGAAAACATCTCACATAGTTGATTTACATGTGGTCTAGAAACTATGCTTATATGAGAAAAATAAGTAATGCTGTCGATTGCTATAGCAAAAATATGTTTGCTTCATTGACAATACAACCAAAGAAATTGACATCTACACTCGTTGCAATGTGACTGAATTATTGACTTGTCAAGCTCACATGTTGCACTGTCACGGTTCGACTCCCGCTAGGGGTATTTATAAGGCCTACGCGATGTCGAAAATGCAGTCTATTATGAATGAGAACAACTTTTGAGAAAGCAAGGCTCTGTGAAATTCAATGGAAACGTCATCTCTACTCACATCATTGTGGGAAAATTCTACTACCAGTCCTTCATTACCTTAAATGAAATAGGGTTAATAAATCTCATATAAAACCAGTGAACTAAAAAATGTGTACTAATGTCAAATTCCCTAGCAAGCTTAAAAGCATAGGAGGCTTAAATCATTATTACTATTAACCTTATATACCTTTTTAAGCACATTGTTAAAAATGCATGGAAAAGCTTATCTCCAAATACTTGCTTTGTATTAGTTATATCACTTAGTCTTCTTAGCACCATGAGGAACAGTTTTATTGAGTAATTAAATCTTATTATTGTTTCTAAAAATTAATTTAGCACCATATGTGAGGTTTATGATCTAATTTCAAGGGCCATTAAAACTAAACGCGGTTATATGTACGCAACTTAAAATCTTTCTTTGCTAATCGGCAAAATTTGGAGTAATCAAATATATGAAGACCAAGATGGTATGGCTCTTGGTATGGCCGCAGTCTTCTTTCGATTTATAGAAATTGCTTAAACCCATTTTCATAATTTGGTCTTGTTGCAAGAGAGGCAAAGTATAACACACATTGTCCGACGTCCTCTGCCATAACAGTTAGCCTAATTCCTACCATCAGACCGTGAACTTGATACATTCTCAGACGTTTCGCCAGCATCGTAGTTGGCCTTATCAGTGAGTCTTGCCATTTTCTGTACCAAGTTACAAACTCGTCAAAAGAGACAAATAAGGTCAATCCCTCAATCAATGTTCTGCCGAAAACGGTTACACCATCACTGATTTTTCTGTCCTGGCCCATCTATCAAATCTTTACCC